AATGAATGGAACTCATGTGTTTCATTATTTCTACTTGTTTGTTAATCCATTGTAACTTTTCTCGCCTGTTTAATATTTTTATGGGTTGACGTAAGTACATGCCTTTGGTGAATTTGCTAAGAGTTCATGAAAGAACATGCATTTAGGTGAATTTGAACAAGCTGTTTTGGTCCAATCCTTGTTCATTGGCGTTGCCAACTGATTCACCGCAAAGAATTGAAGATCCCAAGTACGAGGGCTTTAAGCGAGTTATCCTTAAGCTGATGCTATTCTATAGTAAACAAAGCCAGTCCATTCGATGGGCAAATGCAATTTACAGCCGAGTTCTTTATCAAGTTGACAGGCCTGCTATTTATGACGGTTAGTATTTTTTTTCTCTTATGCTCATTATTGATCATCTCTTCATGCTCTGATGAGTTGTGGTTTCTTGTGCACAATATGTGTTTAAAAGAAAAATGGCATCATTATTCATACCTAACGGTGCAGAATATATTCAAGTTCAAGGCCAAACATTTTAACAAGATGAAACAATTTTGTTTGTATTGTTACCTGAATTCTATGTCATCTTTTGTGAGGGCACATGTTTATGACATGCCATTTGATTATGGAGAACAATAATATCACCATATTTTCAAGTTGCCATCTAATTTTGTATTTAATTTGTTTGGAAGTTTTTTGGAGTTCATGATTTATACTTTTTTGCTTTTCTTGAACTGGTGTAGTTGTTCAACTAAATGACGGTACGGGAATGGGAAAAACTATTAACTTTTTTGTTTCAAGTATCTCCTTTCTGTTTTTAATCACTTGTAGGCAGTATTCTGTGGGATATTCTACTTAGAAGCCTCTATATTCCTGTTTGTGTCACCTTTGACAAGACTGCTTCAAAGTTTATGTTTATCTAGTAGAGGCTTGCCAGAGCGCCATATTGTCACAAACTCTTATCACATTTTCCTTGTACTAATATAATGCCCAATTCTATGGAAGCTAACTCTAGAAACTATATATGTCCATGTGGGTCTTTTAGGAGGGTAAGGTCAACTTGGCAAGGTAACAGATTCGGAAGGGGATTGCGCATAGTTCTTTCTCATGAATAGTTTGTTGCATTCTGTAAGAAGAATTATGATGTCTAAAGTGCACATACGACAAAATCCTATATGTGAAAGTTTTGGCATACAGGTCTATTGTCTTTTGATTTTGACCAGACTAAATCTGTTGCTCATGAATGAACAAACATACCCAATTACCCATCATTAGTTTTGTTTGCTATCTTATCTTTACATTTATGTAACTTTAACTTGAGCAGTACCTTTTTACATGCAGTGTTTAGCTTGGAGAAAACCTTTAAAACAACATTCTCCTTGCTTGTAATCCATATGTGGCTTTGCTTGCGCCGCTTAAAAGAAGAGGGAAAGGAAGGTGTTGAGTTGGGGCAACACTTATATGAGATGTACAATCATGATCTTGAACTGAGAGTTTCCAAGGCTGGGGTTAGTTATCTGTACCTGAATATTTGTTGCATATTTAATTCAATGCTAATTAATATCATTACTTCTTTTAAGTTCAAAAGAAGGTGTTTGTTATATTTTGTGTCTTTTCAGTCTGATGAAAACTTGAAGTTTCTACCGAACAATTAACTTTTAGAAGGTCCCACATCACTTGAAAACATTCTAGACAATTAGGGGGTGTTCTCTTTGTGTTTCAATTTTGTGTTTTGAATTCATTTTGAGTTTTGTGTTTTGAGTGTTTGTTTTGAAATTGTTGAAAATGTGTTTTTTTGGTTAGTTTCTCAAAAAACAAATTTTGAGAATCACCACAACACCATCTCAAAACACCAAAAAAAAAAAAAAACAAAAAGAAATTAATTAATTTTTAATTTTTTTTGAAATTTTGAGAATCACCACAACACCTCCAAAAAAAAAAAAAGAAAAAAAAAAGGTGTGTTTCCTGCGTTTTCAATTTTTTCAAGTTTTACACTGAAAACGTCCAAAACGACAAAAAAGTCGTTTTGTGTTTTCTTCACAATTTTTTTTTTTCGTTTTTGAAAACAAGAAAGAGAACACGTTTTCACCGTTTTGAAAAATCAAAAACAGAAAACGGCCCGAAAACGGTAAAGAGAGCAGGGCCTTACTTTTTCTATCTAAGCACTTTGTCATTTATTCCATTTTCTTGCTTTGACATTGCAGGTAAACTTGCTGTTAACTAAATGGATGAAAGATTTGGAGAAGATATTCTATGGAAACATTGTTGCTTATGATGCCTCTATGCTTCCTGAAGGAAAGATGGATCAGTTACAAAGTGTTATTTGGAGGTAAGGCATTTGGCAGAATTTTGATGCTAGTATTAGTTTGGCATGATTCATTGATGAGTAATATATTAAGCTACCAGCGAAGCTATGTTCGAAGTGTAGAAAAAAATGATAAACAGCAGAGATAATGCAGCCACAGCCCCCACTGTTACACCAAGGATGACATCCCCCTAGGTGAAAGAAATCTGGGTAGCGATGGAATGGATATGTTTAAAATCAATGTTGTAGATTGCTATCATATTGAAGAGTGTCAAACTTATTGTCAAGAACGATGTATAGGCAGCATGATTGATTTTTTGGCATTTGGGTCCTTAATTCTAACAATTTTATAGCAAGTTCATTTTTTCTGTCTATTAGAACATTAAACCTTCATGTTAAAGGTTGAACCCCAACCTTAGGGGCCCCCACCGACCCTGCCCTGGGCCATCGTGGAGGAGGTAAATCGCAGGATGTGCCTTCCAGGAGTCAGGGTGGAGAGCACATGGATAGGTCAAGGCTGTTAACCCATATGGTAACTCCCGCTTGCAACAAAGCCAATTCGACCTTGCGGGGAATCGAACTCTGCACACTGCCGCGCTGAGCCCTATCCGCCCTCCCCTTTGTCACTGGGAGATATGCCCTGGGGGCTAAACCTTCATGTTACTTGCACTTGAGGCGGATTTTGGGGCTATTTTTATTGGAAAAAGATTTGCAGAAAGAGAATCTCTTTTATTTGTTAGCAAATTTGTCTCGAATTCATTTCAGACGACACTCAGTGCTAAAGATTCTGATGCACATAGTATTTCTGGAGATTTCTTTTGGTATAGAATTGGCAGCTTCAATAGGGCAAAAAATTAAACCCCTGTTTGGTTTTACTTAAAATTAGATTTTAGTAGATTTTGATAAAAGTTGACGAAATGTGTGTTGAAAATTTGATAAAAGTTGTGGGCCTCATAAAATGTATGGTTAATATTGTTGACTTTGGCTTGGACTTTTATCAAATTTTTTATTAAACCAAATAGAGACTAAGTATCTAGGTTAACAACCACCAAGATTGAATCAACTGTTGAAATTGTTTTTAGGTTTTACAGAGCTGACTGGTTGCTTCACTTGGGGCCATATTCTAGCAAATTCTTTTGATCTTTTATTTCAATTTAATTATTGTATTGCCAGAATCAGGTGAAAGTTCTTTTTAGCTAGTTTTCTGATACTGCCTATGATAATAGCAAGTATGGTTTCTTTTAGTATTCGAAGAAAAGGGGTTTTTTGGGACCTTCATTTCTCTAGATATGGACGCATTGATTGTATGTAAATTTGGCGAACGGTTTGGGATTTCGTCGAGTTTGAAGAATGCAAAATCTTATGCAGCCCTTAGAAGCTTCATTAGAAACATGAAAACTAGAAGAATATTTTGCTGTGTTTATTTCTATTATTTCTGTGAATCAGACATACATTCAGGTCTTGCAAAGGAATGCTTTTCCCCAAGTCTCTTTTTCCTTGATCTTCTTCTTATTATTTACTCTTTCTTGCCATCTATGATGTTGAGGTGGGTGGACTGGAGGAGGAGAGAGGTAGATTAGAGGTTTTTGAGCTTGAGTGTCTTAGTGGCAGTGAGTAGGTATAGGTTATCCTTTTTTCGTAATTTTTTCTTCTATTCCCTTTTCTTTTGTTTATTGAAAGGGAGGGTAGTATTGTCTATTTAATGAATATTTATCACGTGTGAATCGCGATAGTTAAACGATTCCAATGAATGGACATGTTAAGGACATATTATCTACAGCCTATTGTCTGCAGATTTGTCATCGTAGGAACCTAAAAGCTGTTGATTGATTTGGGAAAATCTCCTTTTTCTCTTATTATTAATTCACCAACGGATACATATATATACATGTAAGGGATATTTCTCAAAAAGGAAATAATCCTATCTAATATGGAAATAATCTAAGACTTATACACCTACCATATTCATAACATTGCTCCTCAAGTTAGAGCATAGATATCAATCATGTCCAGCTTGTTACAAATATAATTTACTCGATTCCCAACTAAATACGTCAGTTAATTCATCTCCTGTCTTGACATGTTTACTCGAAATCAATCCTTGCTGTAACTTTTTACGAACAAAATGACAGTCTGCCTCTATGTGCTTTGTTCTCTCATGAAATATCGGATTAGTGCCAATGTGAATAGCTGCTTAATTATTGCACCACAGGAACATAGAGGAGGACTTATCGATGCCAATCTCCCTAAGAATGTGATGTAGCTACATTTGTTCACAAGTTACCTATGCCATAACTCGATATTTTGATTCTACACTTGATTGAGCTACAACATTTACAACATTTTGTTTCTTACTCTTCTAAGAGATTAGATTACCCCTAATGAAAACACTTCCTTGTAGTAGAGCGCCTATCTACAGGAGAACCTACCCAGTTGACCATGGTCTCTATAAAGAATCCCACGCTATGGAGCTCCTTTGAGGTATTTCAATATATGGGTTACAGCATCCCAATGTGAAGTTCTAGGAGATAACATAAATTGACCAATAATACTTATTTGTAAGGCAATATTTGGACGAGTAATCATGACATAGACCCTCCTGTATTTCTCCGCATCAACTAACACATCTCCGTCTTTAGCCTCGAATTTCACATTTGGTATCATAGGGGCATCACTAGATTTTGCTTCTGCAAAACCTGTCTCATCTACTAGGTTTAGAACACATTTTCTTTGAGACAGAAAAATTCGTTTACAACTTCGAGAGACTTCTATCCCTAAGAAATACTTCAACAGACCTAACTCCTTTGTCTGAAAGCTTGTGCCTAGGAAAGCTTTTAGCATACTTATGCTTCTACTATCACTACTAGTAATCACGATATCATCAAAATATACCATTAACAAAATACACCCTACTGTAGACTGCTTAGAATTCTGAATGATCATATGCACTTCTTTGCAAGCCAAATTCAATCACAACCTCACTAAATCTTCCAAACTAGGCACGTGGTGATTGTTTCAGACCATATAACAACTTTTGCAGTTTGCATACCCCCTCGGAGCCCTGAGCAACAAATCTTGGTGGTTGCTCCATGTAAACTTCTTGCAAATCACTGTGGAGGAACACAATTTTAACATCCAGCTGGTGAAGTGACCAATGATAATTAGTAGTAAGAGAAATGAATAGCCGAACAGAAGCCAGCTTAGCAACTGGAGAGAAAGTCTTAGAGTAGTCCACATCACAAGTCTGAACATATCTTTTAGTAACCAAACGAGCTTTCAATTGAGCAACAAATCCATTAGGATTCATCTTAATAATAAACACCCATTTACATCCGATTGCTTTTTTATTAAGGGGTAAAGGAACTAAATCTTAGGTATGATTATGTTCTAGGGCTATCATTTCTTCCTATATGGCCGCTCACCAGTTACTATGGGACAAAGCCTCAGCAATTTTTGGTACTGACACACAATCTAAGGAAGTACTTGGACGATTATGACAATGCATGGTAAGAAATAAAAGAAGAGATAGGATAAGTACATGACCGTTTTTTCAAAGGGCAATGAGAAGATCAAGGCTAGATTAGGAGGGGGTGATGAATCCTGAGGCGAAGGAGCAAGTAGAGGTGACAATTCATGGTTTGTAGTAGGTGCCACTTGAGATTGCTGCACACGAGAAATGTAAACATTTCAAATAGACGGATGAGAAGATACTGGTAACATATGTATAGTTATAGTGTAAACAACAAAATCATCTTTAGATTCGAAAGGATGATTGGAGGATCCATAAATACTGGAAAAGGGTGTGGACTCAAAGAAGGTGACATCAGCGGACACTTTGTACCATCCTAAGGAAGGAGAGAAACATCGATAACCTTTTTAATGTCGAGAATAACCCAAAAATTATACACTTAAGGGATCTGAGATCAAGCTTAAAAAGTTGAGGTTTTATATCTTGGACAAAGCAAGTACATCCAAATACTCTAAGAGTGATAGAAAATAAAGTTTGAGAGGGAAATATAATAGAATAAGGGATTTTACCATCCAAGACAGAGGAGGGCATACGATTGATTAAGTAACATGCAGTAGAGATTGCATCCGCCCAAAATTCTTTTGAAATGTTCATATAAAAGAGTAGAGCCCCCACAACTTCTAATAAATGACGATTTTTTCTTTCTGCCACTCTATTTTGTTGTGGAGTAGCGATACATGAATATTGATGTCTTTTTGAGATAGAAAGGAAATAAATGTGATGATAAATATTCCTTGTCATTATCACTCCTTAAAATACGTATAGATGTATCAAATTGAGCTTTAATCTCAGCATAAAGGTGCAAAAAATTGAAAATATTTCTGAGCAATTTTTCATAAGATAAAACCAAGTAACCCGAGAATAATCATCCACAAAGGTAACAAAATAACAAAAATAAGAAAACGGCCCCAAATATCATAATGTATTAAATCAAAGGTGGACATAGCCCATAAATATATATACTTGTAGGGGATATTTCTCAAAACGGAAGTAATCCTATCTAACATGGAAATAATCCAAGACTTGTACACCTACCATATTCATAGCAAAAGCTAAGGAAACAAAAAGTTGGAATCCTGGTACTATATCAGACTAATGATGAGGACTTAACTGTATTTGTAAACGTTTTAATGTCCTCAAGTTAAAGGACAGTCAAATGAATTCAGTTTAAGCTAAAATTTAACTGATTAAAAACTTAGGCTGGTTTGCTGTGGTTTAAGAACATTTAAAGATATTGGATACTGTGCATTTTAATAACTACTAATATTAATGATGTTTACATGAGTTGTAGGAATGTTTTCTCTGATGATGGTTCGTCAAAACCAAGTGATGCCGCATTGCCCCTGGTCCAGGTAAGCTTTCATCTCTTGGCTGTTAAATAGATTGTTAGCTACAAAAAATTATTTCTTGAGGTAAATTTTGATGAGATGGTATTGATATTATATTATTCTCCTGTTATTGCATGACTACATAAAATACTATACATTTCAAACGCTTGTCACCACCTAGATATGTTAACAAAAACAACTAGTAATCTCCGTCTGTGTAAATCATTTGGTTATTTTGGGTGCTGTTGGCCATAAAGTGTCCTCTTATGCTGGGATATGTTTAGTCTTTAATGAGGGAAAAATATTTTTCTTTAGGATCCTTACAAGTACGAATTCTGTTATATAAGTTAATGATTACAGATAACTTTCTTGCAGTTTTTAGTTCCTTGTATGAAAGGAATAGAACATTTGTTTAATGTATTGAAATTAATGATGCACCAGACTTTCTTATTTGTTTCTTTTGGCATTCATAGGCCATGTCAAGATACGTACGCCGGGAAACCATTTGTTTGTCATTAACAGGTATGCATTTACATTTAGTGTTGATAAAATTTATTTTATAAGCATTTGTACCTTGGTAAGATTGGGAAAAACAATGGAGAGCCTATATACTAGAANAAAACTCGATCAGATGAATTTAGTCGTGTTTATTCACTGTTAGATTGGAGATTTGCATGCCTAGTGCCGATTCTGCCTCATCAACATTAACATTTCGGCATTTGTCGTAGTGACCTCGATAGAAATAAATATAAAGGTATGGTGATCTGATTGAAACATTTTAAAGTTTGATGACCTCCGGTAAAATTTATCCTTTTCCTCTGCAGCCTCTAAAGCATTCAATTCCTGTTGTATTCGTCAACGCCACCAATAGGAGCCCAACGATCCAAATCGGATTGTGTTATATATAGATACAAAAATCTGTATCTATTCTCATTACTCCATTACGTCAGTATCATCCCCACCGTCCAAAGCAACAGAAATAAAGGGCTTTCATGTCCACGTGAAGAAAAGCATCTTTCCTTTTTAAAACTATTTCTGGTTAAAAATAGTTGAAATTCCAAGAATTTAATCATATTCGTTTCTTGACTCTTTTGAAGACCATATAAATTCCATATACATATACGTGCTGTATTTTTCTAGGCATTATTTACTTTGGTATACAATGAGTTTCTTGACAAGAATTGCCCTTTTTCTGTCCCTGTTTTCCTTAGTTTTGGCTGAAGGAAATTCAAATTTAAAACCTTTTCAAAGGCCTTTGATTCTTGAATACCCAGAAAGAATTGAACCCAATGTGAAACAAGGATGTACAGATGAAATTCAATTACAGTGTACAGGTTGGAGGTTTGCTGTGGAGGCCAATAATATAAGTCCATGGAAGAGTATTCCAGCAGAATGTGCTGATTATGTGAAGGATTATTTGACTGGAAGGGGTTATGAAGTTGAGCTTGAAAGGGTCTCTAACGAGGCTGGAATTTATGCAAGAAACGTGGAGTTGAATGGAGATGGGAAAGATGTTTGGATATTTGACATAGATGAGACTTTGCTTTCAAATCTTCCCTATTATGCTGAACATAATTATGGGTAAAATATTTTGTACTTCTCTTTTAAGATTTAATTTAATTTTTAATTATGATTGGCCTTGTGCATTGCAGCAAGAATTGGCTTTTTTGGGGGCTTTGGGATTGTTTTCGATGTTTGATACAATATTATAGAATTGTTCTTGCAGTTTGTTAAATAATCATTTTTTCTATGGCATTTAGTCTATGGATTTTAATTTGAGCTATTGTAACAATTTTCTTGTTTAATAATGGTTATGAGTAGGATTCTTTGAACAGTTGCTGATTTGTCTTTCTTTGTGGGTGCAATTCAGTTTTGATTTGACGTTTCTCTTACTATGATTGGAATAACAAATATATATGACATTTGTGGCATGTTTAGACTAGACTGTTGGTATACTGTCATGTCGTGTTGTGTTGGATGCTGCATGCCAAACGTGTCAATGATGTTAAATCATTATGCTTATTTGATGAGTTTTTGTGACTTGCTAAGCATTCAACTGGAAACCCTTACTATGAGTTTTTTTTATGTGATTTCAGATATCTGATATGCGTTCTCTGGTGATGATGTGTAGGTTGGAGCTTTTCGATAGTGTGGAGTTCGATAAATGGGTCGAGAAGGGAACGGCTCCTGCTATACAGTCCAGTTTAAAGCTTTACAAAGAGGTTTTGAGGTTGGGATTCAAGGTGGTCTTGTTGACTGGCAGAAGCGAAAGGCATAGAAGTGTTACTGTTGAGAATTTGATCAGAGCTGGATTTCAGGATTACGACAAACTCATATTGAGGTTAGTATTGAAATTGCTTGTTTCTTATAATAGGTATGATAAGATTTTGTAGGCAAACTCTTGTTTATAGTATCCCTGCAGTAATCTTGTTTCATAATTCTCTACAAGCAATGTGTCGTTCATTAACTGAGGATCTCAACTGAGCAAGCAAATGCTAATTCTCAGACGAAGTATGAAAACACCTGTGTCCATATAGAACTTTACCTAGAAGACGAGATGATGGATAAGATTCAAATGAAAATAATTAATCCTTATCAAGGCATAATTTCATAATGGGAGCTCAAGTTGAGATGAAGAACAAGAGAATCTTTCTTTCGAAGTAATATAAATAGGTGTCATTGTCTTGACAAGGAGCCCCGTTTAATTTATCAGTAAGTACTTAAAAAAGCCATTTGTGGTGGATTTTAGTCTAGATTAAACCTTAGTTATGATTAATCTTGGACAATTTTTTATCTGTGCTTTTGTTACCATCATTTTGCTGTACAATATTGAAGAATAGTTATTAGGTGAAAAGTAGCATCAATCTTTCTGTGACTGCATAGCATTATAGTACTAAATACACTGAGAGTTGGAATTTGATTGCTGAGAGATACGTGTGGATGATCTGGAGTGCTACCTTATTAGTCTGAATCCAAAACCGAATATATTGAGGAATTTTAGATAAATTGGACAAGGCAACATATGGAACCTTAATATTCACAAGCCTGAAGTGTAGAGTAGCTCATTTGATTTATCTATCCTTCAAAAGGTAGGTCTTTTGCTGTAACTGTGAACTGAACAGTTTTCTATCCTTAAGGATTCTGCATAAGGAAATTGAATTATCCTTTCGATTTGAGGTGAGAAAGCTTCGAATTTAGTGGAGTATATTTTATGTGCATACAAAATTATACATGCCTGGTATCATTTAAGGCTCAAAATAAATTCTTGTTAATCTTGGTCAATTGTCCCTTTTTGGTTAGTGGAGTTGGATTTGGATGAATATTCCCAATTTTCCATGCAAAAATGAGCTTTTGGTCGCAGTTTTGTTGCTATTCTTTAAGCACCATTAGAGCATGTAGGCTTAGAAAAACCTACAAGTACTTGAAAGAAATTCAAGTAAACACTTGCTTTCAAATATGTTTTTGTTGGGAAAAAATTACTTACAAGCTTATGCATATGCTTGATCGCGTTTACGATAAAGTAATGTTACGTATAAGTACTTTTTTGTGAATTATGTTCTAGTTTAATTAGAAGCTACTTATTTCCGAAGATTTTTATTTCAAGAACTTATATTTTCTTAAAACTGTGCAGGGGCTCGGAGGATCACGGGAAGACAGCGACAAAATATAAATCAGAGAAGAGGAGTGAGATGGAAGCTGAGGGTTACAGAATTATGGGCAATTCTGGAGATCAATGGAGTGATTTGTTGGGTTCTTCCATTTCAAAACGTTCATTTAAGCTTCCCAATCCCATGTATTACATCCCTTGATGACTTCTGATTGGATTCTTTTTTACTGATTTTTAGTTGGATACTTTTTTTATTCAAATGTTCAATAAGTACCTGTACAAATTGGATAGAACATCATTCTTCTGATCCCGGAAAGCTGTTGAAAACGGGATTGAATAGTGTGTTGTGTTGGATGCTGCATGCCAAACGTGTCAATGATGTTAAATCATTATGCTTATTTGATGAGTTTTTGTGACTTGCTAAGCATTCAACTGGAAACCCTTACTATGAGTTTTTTTTATGTGATTTCAGATATCTGATATGCGTTCTCTGGTGATGATGTGTAGGTTGGAGCTTTTCGATAGTGTGGAGTTCGATAAATGGGTCGAGAAGGGAACGGCTCCTGCTATACAGTCCAGTTTAAAGCTTTACAAAGAGGTTTTGAGGTTGGGATTCAAGGTGGTCTTGTTGACTGGCAGAAGCGAAAGGCATAGAAGTGTTACTGTTGAGAATTTGATCAGAGCTGGATTTCAGGATTACGACAAACTCATATTGAGGTTAGTATTGAAATTGCTTGTTTCTTATAATAGGTATGATAAGATTTTGTAGGCAAACTCTTGTTTATAGTATCCCTGCAGTAATCTTGTTTCATAATTCTCTACAAGCAATGTGTCGTTCATTAACTGAGGATCTCAACTGAGCAAGCAAATGCTAATTCTCAGACGAAGTATGAAAACACCTGTGTCCATATAGAACTTTACCTAGAAGACGAGATGATGGATAAGATTCAAATGAAAATAATTAATCCTTATCAAGGCATAATTTCATAATGGGAGCTCAAGTTGAGATGAAGAACAAGAGAATCTTTCTTTCGAAGTAATATAAATAGGTGTCATTGTCTTGACAAGGAGCCCCGTTTAATTTATCAGTAAGTACTTAAAAAAGCCATTTGTGGTGGATTTTAGTCTAGATTAAACCTTAGTTATGATTAATCTTGGACAATTTTTTATCTGTGCTTTTGTTACCATCATTTTGCTGTACAATATTGAAGAATAGTTATTAGGTGAAAAGTAGCATCAATCTTTCTGTGACTGCATAGCATTATAGTACTAAATACACTGAGAGTTGGAATTTGATTGCTGAGAGATACGTGTGGATGATCTGGAGTGCTACCTTATTAGTCTGAATCCAAAACCGAATATATTGAGGAATTTTAGATAAATTGGACAAGGCAACATATGGAACCTTAATATTCACAAGCCTGAAGTGTAGAGTAGCTCATTTGATTTATCTATCCTTCAAAAGGTAGGTCTTTTGCTGTAACTGTGAACTGAACAGTTTTCTATCCTTAAGGATTCTGCATAAGGAAATTGAATTATCCTTTCGATTTGAGGTGAGAAAGCTTCGAATTTAGTGGAGTATATTTTATGTGCATACAAAATTATACATGCCTGGTATCATTTAAGGCTCAAAATAAATTCTTGTTAATCTTGGTCAATTGTCCCTTTTTGGTTAGTGGAGTTGGATTTGGATGAATATTCCCAATTTTCCATGCAAAAATGAGCTTTTGGTCGCAGTTTTGTTGCTATTCTTTAAGCACCATTAGAGCATGTAGGCTTAGAAAAACCTACAAGTACTTGAAAGAAATTCAAGTAAACACTTGCTTTCAAATATGTTTTTGTTGGGAAAAAATTACTTACAAGCTTATGCATATGCTTGATCGCGTTTACGATAAAGTAATGTTACGTATAAGTACTTTTTTGTGAATTATGTTCTAGTTTAATTAGAAGCTACTTATTTCCGAAGATTTTTATTTCAAGAACTTATATTTTCTTAAAACTGTGCAGGGGCTCGGAGGATCACGGGAAGACAGCGACAAAATATAAATCAGAGAAGAGGAGTGAGATGGAAGCTGAGGGTTACAGAATTATGGGCAATTCTGGAGATCAATGGAGTGATTTGTTGGGTTCTTCCATTTCAAAACGTTCATTTAAGCTTCCCAATCCCATGTATTACATCCCTTGATGACTTCTGATTGGATTCTTTTTTACTGATTTTTAGTTGGATACTTTTTTTATTCAAATGTTCAATAAGTACCTGTACAAATTGGATAGAACATCATTCTTCTGATCCCGGAAAGCTGTTGAAAACGGGATTGAATAGTACAAGGCAGTATCAAAGAATGGAGTGATTTGTTGGGTTCTTCCATTTCAAAACGTTCATTTAAGCTTCCCAATCCCATGTATTACATCCCTTGATGACTTCTGATTGGATTCTTTTTTACTGATTTTTAGTTGGATACTTTTTTTATTCAAATGTTCAATAAGTACCTGTACAAATTGGATAGAACATCATTCTTCTGATCCCGGAAAGCTGTTGAAAACGGGATTGAATAGTACAAGGCAGTATCAAAGATGTTAAATCTTATTTATCCAGTGTACCAAACATGCGTTATTTTGTGTCGAATATAACTTATTTAGTAATTATATGATATTGGTGGGTAAATATTATCCACTGTCATCAAACTTTTAAAGCACACTCCATTCAATCACTAAATTTTTATTTGTTTTAGTTGGGTCACTACATTTCAATTTAGTTCTAAATTTCATTATTCTAATGCCTGCAGTTCCCAAAATTGACAGAAATTGCTTGGTTGAGAGCTAAATTATAAAGAATTTTTCACTTAGTTGCTACCCTACCCTAAATACCAACTAAGTAAGGATCATGTGGAAATACAAAATGTAATGTTATCCGACTAGAGGTGGCTTTGATTGTAACACTTTTTCGATATGACATGGTCATAATTTTAGTATATCATACAATTTCATGTATAGTGGATTCATTTATTTTGGAGACAACATGTGATGAAAATGTACGTGAAATGTAAAGCTAAATCAAAGTTTAATGATTTGATTGAGGTTTCTCTGTAAGTTATATGATCGTAGATTAAATTTACGCCATGTCATCTTATTTTATACCATAATATGACTTATTTTCATGTTAATAACCTCAATCAACTATTGCTTTGTTATAATATTGGAATTACTCCTTATTTGAAGGTGATTAGTGCCAACTAACTTGCAACTACATGTATTGATACAATTTAGATGTACTTTTTAGAACAATTCAAGTATCTGAAATATTTACAGTTAAGTTTCATTCACTGCTATTCAACTTTTAAATGAGTCATTTAATTTTAATTTATATTGATTGAGTTATTGAACTTTAATTTAATTTTAAAATTCTTTATTCTTGCGTTCAAATTGTTGGACATATTTCAAATGAAAGTACAAAATTATTTTATTAAGAGAATGTTTAGTTAAAAATGAGTCTGAAGAGGATGCGCTTTTAGCGAATGTGGCTCAAACAAGAGCTATAATTGCATTTAATATTTGTGCAAATAATAAAATGTTCCATGATCATGGATATTATTATAAATTGAGTAGTTAAATTGTTAAATACAAATAGATTCAATTTATATAGTGATAAAAAATAACCGTCTCGATCAATAAATAAGTAGAACACTTTGTGTTTTTAGCATCGTATTATATTTATTGAAGTTTGTGTAGGTGACGATTTACAGAATTAAATGTTTTTTATAGTTAAAAGTTTGTATGAAATCATGCAGCCAATTTTGTTGCACTATCCACATGGACGAAGGGTACATGAAAAGGAATGGAGAAGCACATTTTCCCCCGAGTCACGGTGGCAAACTTCCCGAAATTCTCGACTACTTGTATTTGACAAATCATAGTGTTTAACAATTTAGTTTGTCGCAATGAGCAAAATATTTCCATTCAGAATAGACCAAACTACGTTCATCTCGAAAACCTGATGCCATGAACTTGTTTCTTCATCAATTAGAACCCTGATGGTAAACACGTTCTTGTTTAATTTTACTAAACATATAGAATTGTCTGAATTTCCCCACTTAAAAATAAATAGTTTGCAATCTAGGCCAAGGCCATTTCAAGAATTTTGTAACACGGTTCTTGACATATCCTGTGGCCTTGGAAATAATAATCATCCATGCTTAAAATATAAGCCATAATGTATGATATCAACCGCAGTCTGATAGACCACTCCATTGTGAGTATTGTTTCGTAACAAATATTTCTGCATGCACCAATCTTCACTCTTCCTGCATCTTTCTAAATTTTCTCTCTGAATGAGTGTATTTTAACTTGAAATCATAAGTAATTTTGTCCACCTTGAATACAATTTTTATGTCTAAATCTCTATGATCAGAGTAACCGATACTGGGTTGCTGGATTAAAAATAAAATACGGCTTTACATTTTCTAACACAAATTAACCCATTACTCGAACCAAAAACCTCACCGGTCCTTGTTATAAATTCAAGAGAATTGAAAGGCACGNCATTCTTTTTGTAATTATGATTGAGCATAAATTTGCATTTTCAAGTTAACAAATTTTATTTAAATGTAATAACAACAATTTCTATATAAATTTTTGGTTGACGAGTCACGTGTGATTATGCCATGTTTGGTTTTACTATGAATCGGATTCTAAATAAATATTAATAAAATATGTAGTTCAAAATTTATTGTTAATTTTGACTTAAAATTTCTATCAACTTATCTAGTTAAATTAAATAGGGAATATATTTTTAGATTAAAGTAAAATCTTTTTTAGAATTTATAAAAATTTCGATAATTTGCTTAACATAAAATTCCTTTTATATAAATCTGTAATCCATATGCCAGGACACGTTATAAATACACTGATATGTTGATTAGAAATTTTCAAAATACACTGATATTTATTTTAGGATTTTACGAAATTTAGGATAGTTCGCTTAATATAAAAATCCTTTTAGTCAAATTTGTAATCCTTATTTTAGATTATACAAACCCTATTGCTCACATAATTCTTGTTAGAATTTCATGCATCTAGGTTAATCAACCATCAATATAAAAGGATGAAAAGTTTCATAAATCTTGAACAAGAGATTAGGAAAACCACAATCACGAAATGGCTAAGTTCTCGACTTCTTGTGCATTTGTGACTGTCCTCATATCTCTCATTACGACCGGTACAAACTTAATTCATTTTATTTCGATTATCTTATTTCTATACGCATATAACTAGTTGAGATTGAGACTAAGAAAACCTCAAACGAATACTTGAATTTGCAATTTACATGAAGTACAAGTATAAATTGGTTTGGTAAAGAGGATGATGCAGAATTCGATAGTAAATTATTTGACATTCATGAATCATCGAATAATATTGACAATAGTTAAATTATATGAATGCAGGTTCAAAGGCTTATTTTACTAGAGATGTTTGTACACTAAATCTTGATTTTGCGTTACAAACTCGTGCGTGAATGTATGTGAAAGTTATGTTGGAGGAACTTGTCTCGTAGAACTGAACATAGAAGAAAATGGTCAAGTCGTGGTGATCAACATTTTTATTGTTCCTGTCATTTCTACTGTCGTAAAAAGAACGAGGCATTAGCCCCCGACTCAAGGGTGCAACTCTTGCCATGAACATTTTCTTAGCAAATTGATTGAAGAGGTAACTAAAAATAAATAAGGACAGTGTTGAAATATTTAATGAAATAACATCTTATGAATATATTCTAAACATTCACTAGAAATTGCAGCACAAATTTCAGCAAGTTCTTAAAATCTATTGTCTTGTATATTTATGGTGCTCCAATTATATAATTAAACCAGGAGGAAAAAAAGACGGTGGGACAACAATGAGCCTCGATGGTGGGAATAAGGGTTTACGAAAATAAGGTTTATTTATTAAATTATTAATTATTTTCCTCTTTTTATTCTATTTAATTGATGGTATAATCATTATTAATTAACTAAACAAAATTCCGTGATGTAAAATGTATTAAAATTTAGTATTGTCTTTTTAAAAACAAAATTTATCAATAAATGGACAAACGATCATAAGTTGCAAATTAAAGACTCGATGATAAAGATATCGATAAATATTCCAGTGCTCTCAATTTCAAAAAAATAGTATGGAATTAAGATCTAATTAATTTGTTAAATGTGATAAACACCATTAAAACTAAGATAGAGAATATATACTTTTGAAATTTTTATATTATATAATTTGTTTTCGAAAGAGATGAAATTTATTGTCTTGAAATTCCTACCTTGAAGACATTTTTGATATCTCAATATATCATCTTTTTATAAGCAAGTGAAAATAAGTCGTCTTATTTATTGTCACTTAGACATAACTTGATATCCTCTTATTTGTAAGACAATGTAATATGTTGAAGTAGGGTTGGGTTGGATTGATTTTTTATCAAACTCAAACTTAACCCAACATAGTCGATTTGATCTAAAATCAAATCAATCCAACCCAACTATTAGTTTAAACCCAATCCAACCCAAACTAATTAAGCTTGAGTTGGTTTGAGTTGTGTTGGTCGGTTTGGGATTGAGCTTTCAAAATTGGATCCAATTATTTTTTGTTGAATTTGAATAATTTTTAAAATTTGAATCCAGTTGAAAATCTCCGATATTTTTAATCTATGTAAAAAATTCCTTTTGAAATTAATTTATAAATAAATTTGAGACTATGACGAATTTTCTTTTTATATTTTTTTTGAAATTTATTTATTTCATTATCGCGTCCCTAATTTTCAATCTATCATCAAATCATTTTGCATTTGCGTAGTATTCATACCAATCAGCCTACATAAAAAAGTTGGACATTTGTATATTCTAAATTTTTCTCATGTCTTCACTATTGTGTCTATTTAGATTTTTCAATTCTAGGTATTAAATTTTTTAATTCATCGGATTGGCAGTAGTAGTGACACCTTATTGCATGTTTTTAGAGCACTGTTCGCTCGTTCATTTGAAGCCTGTGAAGTGTTTCCGCAGCACTGTCGCGGGGTGCTACTTATGTCGTGGTGGCGACGATGATGACTTGGCTTGGATGGTAGGCAAGTGATGATGGGTATGGTGTGTGGTTAACACAAAGAAGGTAGAGAGTGGAGAAATAGGAGGGAGAGAAAAATGAATTGGCGATGTCAGGGATTGAAATTTGGGGTTGGGGTTGGGGTTGAGATTGGGTAAAATAAATGGTTTGTTGTAATAAATATGTATTAACTAATTAATTAAATTTATATTAACACCCGATTTGTGAATTTTAAACTTCATCATCCCTGTTTTTGAATTTTACATTTGAAATGTAGGATTTTGGGTAATTTTCTCATTTGAGATGGTGGATCTCAATTCCGAAACAACAAAAAGAAGTCTTATAAATTATAATCTAATTCTAAGCCAAACGTGGTCTTGGGCCTTATCCAATCACAATAATGCGCATACGAGTCTTAACACATGGACCCGAGGATTCAACTATCCATAAAACCTAGATCCATTCCACAGCTTTCTATTTCCCCAATTCTTCAAATCCAGCCCTCCCTCCCTCTCTGTCTCTACTCTCATGGACACTATACAATCGAACTACATGGATTCTCCATCTGAACCTCCCTCCGAGTCACAACAATATTCAAATATTCAGAATTATTCATACTCTTATCCTGAAAACCCATCGGACCCATCGGATTCATATACCGAAACTCCATTGGAAAAAACCCTAGATTCATCACATAATCCGAATACTGAAGATGGAGCTACGAATGGAAGTGCGCCAAAACCCGAGATGCCGAAGATTTTGGTTTCGGAAAATGGGTTGACCAATAGCACCGACAGGGATTTTTCCGGAGGCGAAGAGGAGACGACCAGCAGGAAGCGACGGAGGTCCCGGTGGGATCCTCCACCGAGCGAATCGAGCAACGATGGGGCTGGACCTGGAGGATTTGATAATAATAGTGGAACTGGTGGGAGGAAGCGAAAGTCCAGGTGGGCCGATGACGAGCCGAAGCCCGTGATTCAGTTGCCTGATTTCATGAAGGATTTTACTGGAGGTATTGAATTTGATCCCGAGATTCAAGCTCTGAATAGTAGGTTACTTGAAATTAGTAGGAAATTGCAATCTGGGTTGCCTTTGGATGACCGTCCAGAGGGTGCTAGGTCGCCTTCTCCTGAACCTATTTATGATAACATGGGAATCAGGATTAATACTAGGGAGTATCGTGCTCGTGAAAAATTGAATAGGGAGAGGCAAGAGATTATATCTCAGATAATTAAGAAAAATCCAGCATTTAAGCCACCTGCAGATTACAGGCCGCCTAAGCTTCATAAGAAGCTTTACATTCCGATGAAAGAGTATCCAGGTTATAATTTTATTGGACTGATTATTGGACCAAGAGGGAACACTCAGAAGAGGATGGAAAGAGAGACGGGGGCAAAGATTGTGATTCGGGGTAAAGGTTCGATGAAAGAAGGTAGGCTGCAGCAGAATAGGAATTTGAAGCCTGATCCTTCAGAAAATGAGGATTTGCATGTTTTGGTGGAGGCTGATACTCAGGAGGCTCTTGATGCTGCTGCAGGTATGGTTGAGAAGCTCTTGCAGCCGGTTGATGAGGTTCTTAATGAACATAAAAGACAACAGCTTAAGGAGCTTGCGGCATTGAATGGAACTATTAGGGATGAGGAGTATTGTAGGTTGTGTGGTGAGCCGGGGCATCGGCAGTATGCATGTCCTTCTCGAACTTCAACATTTAAGAGTGATGTTTTATGTAAGATATGTGGTGACGGTGGGCATCCTACAATTGACTGCCCAGTGAAGAATACTACGGGCAAGAAAATGGATGATGAGTATCAGAGTTTCTTGGCAGAATTGGGAGGCACTGTTCCTGAGTCTGCAACCAAGCAAAATTCTGCAACACTTGCCCTTGGCCCTGGTAGTTCAGGAACCAATCCTCCTTGGGCGAGTAGTAGTAACAATACACAAGCTGGTTTGGGGTCTAGCATAATCAAGCCAAAGGAATATGATGAGACAAATTTGTATATTGGGTATCTGCCACCTACCATGGATGATGATGGTTTGATCAGCTTGTTCTCTCCATTTGGTGAAATTGTGATGGCTAAGGTTATAAAGGACCGGCTATCTGGTCTGAGTAAAGGATATGGATTTGTTAAATATGCTGATGTCCAACAGGCTAATAATGCCACTGCGAGTATGAATGGCCACAAACTAGATGGAAGAACTATTGCAGTGAGAGTTGCCGGTAAACCTCCTCAGCCTACTGTGCCACCGGGCCCTCCTGGTCCAGTAATGCCGACTTATCCTTCTCCGAATCAGCCTGCTGGAGCCTACCCATCTCAACAGTATAATGTAGGTGGTCCAATTGGCAGTGCGCCAATGGGGAGCTATGGCGGGGCTCCAGTTCCATGGGGACCACCTCCACCTCCTCCTTATGCATCTTATCCTCCACCTCCTCCGGGTTCAACCCTGTATCCTCCACCTCCTCCTTATGGAGTGCAATATCCTCCACCTATGCCACAAGCATCTTCTGGTACCCCATCACAGACTGTTTCTTCTATTGATGCGCAACAAAATTATACATCTTCTGGGGAGTCACAGCAAAATTATCCACCTGGAGTGCAATCTCAGAGTAGTGCACCTGCTCAATCTGCTCCAACTTATGTCTATGGAAATTCTGTGACATCCATGCCGCCGAATGCCCAAGCTATGTATCCAATGCCTTCATACAGTTACCCATCTTATTATAGTTCAGTTCCTCCTCACCCTCCTCCTGCTGTGCCTCAGCCACCTGTTGACTCTTCCCAAAGTTTGAATAATGTTCCTTGGGCCTCAAATCCACCTGTACCTCCACCTTCATCATCTGCGGAGAAGAGCAGCTATAGCACAGATGCAGAATATGAGAAGTTCATGGCGGAAATGAAATGATGATACAATCTTCTAGGATGGCCATTTAGGATGAAGGGTAAACACGCTGGATTCTTTTCCTTATGTGTCTTGCATATAACATGATATAATTGTTTATTTTAGGGCAAGAATTGTCTCAACTCCATCAAATTGTAATCACATACCATCTGACATCTGTTGATGTAAGACTTGTGCTGTTCATATGGTAATAGATGGCTGGAGATTTCATTGAGGGAATTGGGAGGACAAGAAAATTGAACTAAATAAATCTCACATCTTTTTACCATGGTGGTTGGTTGTGATGTGAGTTTAACACTGTTCATCGGCCAATAATATGCGAAGAGTACAATATGTTTTCTTCTCTAGCGGGAGAAGAGAACAAAAATTTGATGCAACAGTTCACTTTTTACCTATTTTCATTTTGTTTTTTTCTCCTTTTTGTTTGTGAGAGTTTTGATGAGAGGGGGTTGAAGTTTCACTATGCCTATGGAGTAACCTGACTTGGTCAATCAAATTTTGTCAACTTATTCTTCATGACTTTTCCTTTTCTGTTTGTAATGTTAACTGGCGACGTGGTACAATGAGGATGTTCAAATATTGGTGGGATGACTTAGGTGATTGCTACATTCAGGGCCGGCCTTGGCATAAGGCCTACAAGGCAAAGGTCTTGGGCCTCAACACTTTTGGGGGCCTCTAAAAAAATTTCCACCCTAGCATTTCTCTTTTTGAATGATCCAAATTTTAATTTAATTACTATTGTTGATTAGAGCAATGTATTCTACTAGAAACTCAAAGTTTAAAGGATTTTGACTTGGATCTCTCATTTATGCATAGATGTAAAGAAAAAAAAATATAGTGGTGTTGTTTTTATATTATATTTTATTGTTTTGAGTTTATTAAGCAGTTAGAATTGTTTACTTTCTTTCTCTATAATGAGAAGATAAGAAATTCAGCACCCTTTTGTTAGCATCACTGTTATATATGTATGTTTCTTCCATTTGTGAGTTAAAATTGAAGAAGTACACAAACTGAAAATGCTTTGTTACAAGCTGTAAATTAACTTCCATATTTGATTCAATGCTTGGTCTCTTGATAATGAGATTTCCCATGGAAAATAAATGAAAACTCAAAAAGTTGTTTCGTTCAAGAAAAAAAAAAAAAAAAAAAAAAAAAAAAAAATAATAATAATAATAATAATAATTATCTTTAAAGGCCTCGTAATAATTAGTTGCTTAGGGTGTCAAAATTCTCAGGATCGGTCCTGGCTACGTTCTCGAGTGGATCTAAAGAATTCCTCAGTTACAGGGACGATGTGATCCTAGTAGACCATGTTAGATGATCGGGAGGTAAAAAGATCTAATTTATTGTATCTTTCACTAGATGTATAGATACGTGAAGTACTGAAAATGATTAATTTATAGAACTCCAAATTTGTTGATAGTTAGGCTTATGTAGTTATTCTATTTCGAGGTGATGTCCAATTGAGGGCATTATGATTCTGCTAGATTAGGCTCCCTGGTTTGCGAGATGGTTGATTTGACTCTAACAAGTGACACAGGGCATGTATGGGCAAGAGGTTCTAGAATCTATAGTTTCTTGAAGAAATTTTCTTTATTGAAAATGTGTATGTATGCCTCTGGCTGTAGCTTGACTCTTAAGTTCACTCTGGACTCTGGGTATTTCCATTAGTCACAGAACTTGAAAGTAGCCTGTCTTTATTTTCTATCATATCCATAGTTTGATGAGTTTTCTTTTTCTTTTTCATTTTTTCTCTATCTTTTTTTTATTTATTATTTTATTATTTTTTTTACTGTCTTTAATATATATCTAAAGAGGAGAAAAGAACATAATTTAGTACACCTACAGCAATACACAGATTATGTTTTGGTGTTGCCTCGTATAAATTGTTGTTTAAGTTGTGTCGATAGGCATATTCTGATTGGGTATAACTATCTATGTTGCCAGTCAGCGCCTTCGCTGCCATTTATAGAAATCACTGTCTTTGACCTCATAATTCTGCTTGATAATATTTGTTTATGCATATTTTCACGTTTGGTGCGAGACTACTTAATTATTATATCATGAATCATAACACTTGTTTCTTTGTCGTCATTGTAATATTTTGACAGGCTGTTTGTTGGAGCACTTGTCATCCTGATTTGTTATCTCTTGCCCTGACTTACTTGTTGGAAGTTTGGGACTCACATCTTTAACCTTGCTGTACTGTTATGACCTTTGCAGAGAGTTGCCACAAAGTTCAGTTCACCCAGCCTTGTGTTGCAGGACTCGTTCAGAGATTTATTGCTATTGGTTATTCCTTTTGTAGGACTACCTTCTGTCTTTTATGAGTGTTATTTTACTTTAGAGCATCTGGACCTCTCAAATTTGATTTATATTTTATGTTTGAAGTTCTTAATATTTGGTTTGTCATTATTTGCGGTCCTATCTAACGATTACTCAGGTGGTGCACTATGTGCATTGTTTTCTGCTTCTAATTTGCTCCCACTTTTAGTTTATTGATCTATTCCTTTTAAGTTTGACGATTCCACATTGTTGTAGTTCCTGTCTGTGAAAGCAGGTTAATGCTTGCTTCTACAAATCATTGCCAGAAGGTGTGTGCATCTTAAATTGTGAGGTTACCTGGGGTATGTTAATATTATAAATTATTTTTTATATATGTATCCTGTTCTTTTTCCTAATATTTTCTCTCTGGTGTCTTTTTCTAGTGGCTGTATGGCAGGTAAAGTGATTGTGCCAGATTTAATGTTGTGTTCTCGAGTATTTCTTTCTATGTGAATAGGTTGTGCTATTCTTAGGGCTCTTATTAATTAAAGGAATTCAGGAGTGAAATCATTTGGTTGTGGTGGTTGATGGTTTTGAATGAGTAATTGCAGGAAGAATATGTGGTATAAATCAAGTGGTTAGTAGGATTTGGTTGGAGTTTAAGAAGTCTGAGAGGAATGATGGTTTAATCTGTATATGAATGTAGTTAAATTGGTAAATTACTTTCGGTTACATAACCATGAAGTTCTATTAGCTGGTGTCAAAGTATAGTAACTACATTGTAGGAAGATATTATTTGTTTCTCAGCTTCAAAGCAATTATTTACAAGTATCTAGAGGCCTCTTGTGATAGAATTCATATCTATTGTGAATTTCCTATTTATCTGGAGGAGGAAGATGGAAAATATATTTGCATAACAATGAATTGGTATATTCTTGTAGATCCTTCATCTCTAAAGATTTCTCCCGTGCATACTTCATTTTCTCCATAGGATTGCCTCAATGTGAGTGCATGTGTTGCTGTTGATAAACCTTATGTATGAAATTAGATATTGATTGTTAGGATATGACTTTGTCCTGCTGAGTTGCATAATGTCAACCACTTTGAATGTTATCGTGTATTCGAAAAGGCTAATTAGAAAGGAAAAATGAATTCGTTCTAGATGGTAATGTCATTTGCTAAGGGTGTTCTGAAAGTTAAGAGATGTCAAGTTCCTGGCTATTGATCTTTGTGAAGTTATGCACCATTGTTAATCGTGTCCAATTGCAAATTGAAGTGGTTATATTCATGCTTTTAGATATTCTATTTCTTGTACATATTATAAACTTGCTTTTACATGTGCCTTAATTGGAATGTGAGCAACAACTCAAATAATTTTGCATTGTCATCTTGTAGTTTAAAGAGTTCGGTCCAAATAAAATGATGTCTAAATACTTTTTATTTTTCAATTATTATGTTACTCACATTTTAACTAACTATCCATAATGAGTTTTATACATATAACACACATTATTTGTTAGTTATAATTTAACGGTTCAACAAGGGACCTGTAGATTGAACGAGTAACCCATGGGTCAAAATTAATGACGTATAATTTAACTTCCAAATCATGTCTGGTAACTATGCCGCTATCCCTTTTGCCCCAACTTATATTTTCTTATACCTCTTTTGCATAGTGAATTCATCAAGCACATCCTGTGCTTAATGCGTATTATTTGTTCGTATTGGTGTAGTAGGTTTCATTTATATATTGAGCCCTTGTTTGAGCCACATTATTGAAATGAAAATGCATTTTTGAATGGTGTATTGATGGGGAATGTGTAGTTAAAAATGAGGAAAAATTTTGGATTTGCGTGTAATATTATTTTATTGAAAATGTGTGGTTAAAATGATGCCAAATCATTGTTGAATAATGCATTTTTTTCAAATAATGTGGTTCAAATAGGACCTGAGTAATGCTATTTAGCCCTATTGGGGTTGCAATTTTCATTTTTCATTTAATCTATCATTTAATGTTATTAAAACTGGGATTGCAATTTCAATGAGGCTACATAGCATTACTCATATATTATACATGTCAATTAAATAGAAGTATATGATATTGAGTTTTAGAAAGTACTAGAAATATTTCCATTCTCAAGCACGAATTCGAAGAGGATGGAGCATGTTGGCTGCAGTTGGTCCATGCTGGTGCAGAAAATAGTGGTTGAGTTGCTCAAAATCAATTGTTTGATTTCCTTGTGAATCCGGAATTGGGATGAAGCTTCAAAATTTGATCCGACAAATTTGCAGCCTTCTTTTTTGGTTAAGTCCAATTTGCATAATTCAATTCTGTTTGTGAAAATTAAAATTGAGAATATTGATTCTTGGTTATAATACTTAGGTCCCGTTTGTTTCCCATTTTTATAAGAATGAAAATGAAAAATATAGTTGTTATGGGCTTCTACATGAGATAGAATTCAAATATGGTAACTTGATGTGATGAATAAATGTCATATTTTTTATTTTAATGAGAAAAGAATGGATAACAAACATGGGCTTATAAAAGGAAATCTGGTCTAGTTTGATGTGTAATATATCGATGGTAGTTTTGAATTTGATTAGTCTTTACTAATTTTATTTTTCTCTCCAGACATTTTAACGAATTAATGAACGGAAAGGAGTAACCACGCATCAAAATAGATAGGTTGGGAATCAAGTCGTGACAATGTGTATAAGTTTGGGACTAGTGCTGCAATTTTCCTATATTACTTTTTTTCCCATAAAGAAAGAAATATATCCGAATCTCCTTTATAGAATCTTTTATGAAATCGTCGTGTCATGCGACAATATATATTACAACTGCGTAGCGCTATTTTTTTTCTCAATTAAGACCGAAATTTCAACCATCCACCAATTGAGCCCTGTTTAGCTCTCATTGTTTTCAAATTCCCCTTATCTTAAAATCTAGATCTTTATGCACTTAAAAAATATATGAAAGATGTCATATTCATCATTTGAAGCTGCTTCAATTAATTTGAATTTTATTTTTTTTTTCATGCCGAAAATTAGTTATTTAACAAGAAAAAGGCAACGAAGAATATTCGGAGGGTGAATCCAGCGTAGCTAAGCTGGATGAGGCGTAGAACATTTCATCCAACATATCTACTGCCCTCGTAAGTGAATATACCAACTGATCTGTTCACCATGTGTTTGCGAAAGTGCTGGTGGAGATGAGCAATCAATGGTAAAAGTGCAGCGGTGGGTATTCTTGGTGGGTTGGCAGAAATGGCCAACTGGATGGATTGTGAGAATGCTTGTTCAGTCAACTGCAGAGGTGTGGCGGCAGATGGTGTTGATGGGGCAGAAGAAATGGCTGACTGGGTGGGTTGTGAGAATGCTGGTGGAGTCAACTGTGGAGATGTGGCAGCGGTTGGCAGTGATGGGGACGGTGTCGATTATATGACATTGTCAGGTGGAGAGATGGCAGCAGTTGGCTGTTGGCGGTGATGGGGCAGTGTCGAGTTATGACATTGCGATCAGAGAAATTGAGTATTGCTTCGTCGCCTCTGAACCTCAAGGCGGCCACGTCGTATGCTCTGGCAGCAGCCTCGACTGTGTTAAATGTTCCTAACCAAGTACTGAAGGTGGTTCTTTGTGGATCCCTTATATCTGCTGACAATCTGCCCAATGGCGTTTGTCTGATTCCTCTGAATCTTCTTTTCTGTCTTGTTTCTTCACGTGAAGGCCCATACTTATTTGATTTTGCCGTTTTTGCTTGGTCCCGGCGACAGGCATCTGTAGGTTTTGCAATATTTGTTTGTTCCAGTCTCTCGCTCTGTTGGAATAAAACATTACACAAAATAACTGTTGTAAGTACTGAATAGTTTTCCTTGAGAATGTATATAATAACACAACCTAAATTCGTATTAGCCAACCGTTGGTTTAAGTCCATTATTCACTATTTCTCTTGAAGGCACCACATTACCATCTCTTTGAAGATAGTTCCAAATATATGATCAGAAAATTCATTAACAACAACTATGCAATAAACAATGGCAAGAAATGCAAGGATGGTGAATGAGTAATGTTAGCCTTCGAAGAGCCAACCCGCGAACTATGTTTGTTACCGGTGAAGAGAAGGGAGTTTCGGCTCACCTAGAAGTTGCGAATCATCTTTCATATCCAGGCTAGCTACAAGCTGTCAATGAGAGCATGTGAGCAAAGTGAATAAAGCGTGATTCTATGACAAAATTAGTTATGAGGCAGTCATTAGGGAGTCACCATTTTTCATTCTTTCCAAAATGATTAGATTACCCCCATTGTTTGGAAGGAAATCTATAAATACCCTTTCATTTAAAGAAGGAAGCATGCAATTCAAATAATTTGCGTTAAAATAGTTATTTCCCTACTTGTTCTAGTTGAAACATCTAGACTAGCAAATTTAGAAAGTGAAACTCATAATAAAGTGAGATGATTTGTTGATCGTATTTATATTCAATCTTTGATTGTAATTGTTTTGTCAATAAAATCGTTTGATCTGATTTTTACCAAGGTAATTCTACTTCCAAGTACAGATTCTTCCATTTATGGTTCTATGATGCCTAATTTGTTAATGGTGTGTAAAGTGCAACAAAGAGATGGTGAAGGGGTTAACTAGTCATGGATAGCTCAAATCTTTGTTTGACATAATTCATCAACAGTGAAGAACCAGTGTACAACCAAAATGTCACCACAAAATAAAATGAGAAAAAACAAAGAAATCAAATACATGATCTAAGCCATCTGATACTGGGGGAATTGCAGAAACTGGGTTCGCAACAAATTTATAATTTTTTTTGTTGAGTTACCTCAAATCCTGGCGGTGATTGGTGGTGATGGAGTAGAAACGGGCAACTGGGTGGATTGAGAAGCCTGGGATGGCATCAAGTTACCTCAAGGCGGCCTCATCGTATGCCTTAATGGCGGCCTCAGCAGTGTTAAACGTACCCAACCAAACATTTGTTGGGTTGTAAGTAAGATTGCTACTAAAATAATTTTATAGACTCGTTTACTAAAATCCTACTGATTAAGTTTTCGAGGGATATCTGCAATACACAAGGTTGCAAGATATGACACATATAATCTAGGACGAGTGGGATATTTGTTGGGTTTTGTGCCAATTTAGTATATTTTGGTATGATAAAATAATCATTTATAATAAATAAATTGTAGTTTTATTTATTTATTGCATTATTTATTATTGAACATGTATATTAAAGTGCCTATGATCACTTGTAATAATATAAGTTGGATACTTGCGTTGAGAAGTACAATGTGACACAACTTATATTTTGATCATAAATAATTTGTTTACAACCAATGTACAAAGGTTGGCACCTTGTACATGAAGATTGTGGTGTTGGTTGATTCACTATTCAGATTTGTGATTTGTTCTTATAACAGAAATTGTTAAAGGTGACACTAGTACACTTGGAGTGTATTGAATAGACCGCATGTCGAATTTAGTTTTATAGCATGATCGTGCGGAGAATTAAATTTCATTAGAGAGCTGGGTATTTCATCTAAATCCCTTGACATGATTATGTATATCTTTTCATGATTCTTTGATTTATTAATGGACGAGATCAATTTGATTGGTCAAATATCTCAATGAGTTGAGAACTGGAGAATGAGCGGAGTAGAGAACATGAATTAATGTCGGGGATCGTCATCCTGAAAAATGAGTAGAGTGACTATTTAAGTATTTTTTATTGAACGGTTAAAATCTGAGC